CTGCTGCTTTGGGGGAGTAAGTTGGTTGATTGCTTTTGCTGGGTGGGTTGGGAATATGGAAGTAGGGTTGGTGGGTATTCAATCTTGAGGATGAATATGTTGGAGGAGATTCATTATGATATAGGTGTAGGTGAAGGGGATAATTCACGGTTCTGGTCAAGGCTATATAAGTTTCTTGTTTCTTGTCATCTTCCTCTTCTTCCTTTTTCTCTATGCCCACTTTCCTATCTGTTTAGTCAAAGCTACACTATGTAGTGGCCATTGAACAAGTTATAAGTTATAGTAGTATACATCAGGTATACATGACCTACTCGGTTCAACCCCTTTGAGGCTTTCTCTTTTAACCGACTACAATACCCTATCTCCAGTCTATCCATAAATTGCTAAAAAGTTACCGGAGATATTGACATTGTTGTGTACCACTTAGCGACAATGATAGATGATTCGTACGGTGCAGTTAAAAGAGCGAAACCCTCCCGGACCAATATTTCATTATATCAGATGAGGAACTGCTATCTACCACGGTCCCATCGTTCCAAACCAAGCCTTACGATTTGGCCGAGGTCCTCGATTGGCAGGAAGCCGTTTTAGATTCGGACCACTGGGACGATGGCGTCAAGCGCACTGTGCTTGAGCAGACCCTGAACCTGGCCATGGCATTTGACTGTGCTGAGTCTGCCCATGCCCGCCAGTTTGGCTTGATGATAGACAGTAATGCAGCTAGATTATGATATGTACCATCGAAGATGAATGCCCTTTTCCTCAACTTGGCTGGCAAGGGCAAGAAGGGAAGGGGGCATGAAATGGGACTAAAACTGAGCCGATCTCAAATGATGCAACGGCTTCCACATTAACATTAGGTTCCTGCCATCGAGGTCTGGTAGATGTCTAACTTCATATACTATATGCCGTGGCGTACCTGAGAGACAGAGAAGCCTGTATAGAAACCATTTGTGTACAGTCTATCGGGGGAGTTTTATCAGTGTGGAGCAGAATCAATATCCTCGTAACGCGCACAGCTTATCTATGAGTAGGTCAATCTGATCGACGAAATACGAATTGGGCGTGTATATAATCTATCAACCTGATTATCATTGGGATCAATTATGGTCCGGCCAGGATAAACCCACCGACAGCCATTGCTCTGAGACAAAGTCACGGCCTTGATGCTTGGGGCTTATAATGAAGACTCTACAATAGTCTTTTCTGGTCTTGTGCGTTTGCCGATAAAACATAAAGGCAGTACTATCCTAATATCTGCCAATTATTTAGACTTCTATTGCCATAATCTGGTTACATCTTGCTTCTCTGGCTATTCCAAGGCCCCCACAATGACGAACAAGGGGATGAAATTTTCCCATACGTGTGGTAGAGCTACCACGGTGCGTTCCCTCGAGTTAGGGCACCCCACTAGTACGATCATCACTACTCCTGCCGATTATAGTTCAGAGGAGTACTATATTAGCGTGCCTGAGGACTTGGACGACGATATGTCTGTCCTAGCACTAACAAGTCCAGTATATTCTCTTGTCTACATCACGCCGACATGAAGAAGCATAGCTTCGTCACTAAACTGCGGCTGGCAGCGATGTTTCTCTTCGAGAATGTCATCTCTTCTCGAATGACATACAACCAACATGGGTTCTTCACAACCTACAGGCAATTAAAAGCAGATCTATACACAGATGCATGAGCATGATACGTCCTACAGAGATAGGAGACATTAATGCCCGTGAGGATTGCAGTTAAGAATGGATATATACAAGGAAGGTGATGTTTGACCGTGACATTCAGCTTGTCTCTGGCTCTCGATTGCAAATACTCGTGCACAAGATGCAGTATCACTCCCCATTTTCATATTGACACTCAGGTCCATCCTTGTCGAGGATCTTAAGCATCCTTGCACATACAAATAATGGGCGTGGGGTCATGTACAGAACTCCTCAAGTAGGATGACTAGAATGCCCCTGTCAATGTGGACAAGAAATCTACCAGATGTCGTCCATCCTACCCTAGAAACAGAGTGCAGAAGATACCATCATCTTCTTTTATTCTAAGCAAAATGTCTACCATCCTGAATCTGCTCCAACTAAATACCAGTCGCCAAAGGTCCAGAAGCTTCGGTCGCTCTACGATGAATTTGGTTCTTGGTTCTGACGATAGGCTGAGTTAGCCAAGATTGAATATCAAGCTGTCGTCGACAGAGCTTTACGTTCCGCAGAGGACCTCAGTAATTAAAAGCTCGAGTGATAAGATAGAGCATAGAATAGAGCGGGGGTCTGTTCATGCCGCTACCGCCGCGTATCTATGGCTCGCCGACATGGGCCGTTTCGAATCAATGATCCGAAAGTCAGACAACTGCATTTGTCTTGCAGTTTATCGCTTATTAGAGGCTACAACTGATGACTTCAAAGTAGCAATCTCGCTAAAAGCATGTGAGTATAGTATAATAACGCATAGTGTCAAGCCAGAACTGACATGACAATAGGATCTGGTCCTGGCAGGTCAATTGCTGTGAAGGGGAGAAAGAATGAAATTACAGCATAGCAAGCAGTCTACCCAGAATTCAGCAAAAGCATATAAGATCGCTAGATACTAATTGCCTGATAGGATAACAGTCCTCCTAAACCAGCCACTGCGTCCAATTCGAGCACAGGAAACTCAACCCTATTGACATCAGAGTTCGTGCTGCTTATGGACGCGGCAGGATGAGAACGGGCAATGGTGGTCCACTTGCGTACCGCGCTGCAGTTGGAGAGGTACTGCGAGGGGCTCAACCACCTAACATCCGTCGCAGGGGCCCGAAATGTCGCCGGTGCACTTGATTCCTGGCGGGGGCGGAGACATCGTATGCTTCACTGAAGTTGCTGTCCCTGAGCTGGTTCGCGTGCTTTCCGAAGCGAAAGGTGAGACATCAAGATTGTCTTCGGCCAAATAAAGTCTTGTGTCTTCCAAAGATAATCAGGTGGAAAGATTTTGCAGTGGGATACTCGATAATATCTCTGCAATTCCGGCATGCTAACAGCACTAGCCATGAACGCCATCCGATATTCTCTACTGTACTCAAGTTGAGCAAATATGGCCACTAGTGTCTGCCCATCATCGTGCAGACAGCCCAGGAATGGGACATCTCGCTCCCAAGGCACAGTGTCAAAAGCATGGGTATATTGCATAATGCACGCTGTCGCTGCATAGGCTGGGGATTAGCTGTACCCAGCGGATCTTAATAAGAAAGGAAGCCTCATGTTGCACGAAGTGTATGCATCCACTCGAGCAGCACTTCTATATACTATGACAAAAACTAATTTGCAACCATCTGACAGGGATCTTTTCCTGTCTGAAACCCGTATAAGTCATAAAGTGGCACGATATGGTAGAACGGCAGCGTATCTCTGCCAATGCTCGTCCTGTCAATGAGACGATAGTGTGGTCTTCGTTCTCCAGTGATGGAGTGCCTCCAAGCCTGGATCATCAGATCTGTCCGGCGTTGGACGTCTTTCGAAATATGGATCTTCCAAGATTTCCAGTATTCCAGTCAACAACAGATGGACAATTGCAAGATAAGCAATCTGCTTCTGATAATTGCATACCATATAGACTTTAATGATTGCCAGTATCAGATACCGAAATGTGAGCTGGTGGGCTCTGGTGATAACAACAGCAAGGTCCAAAATACCCTCAGGTAGGTGAGCAGCTCTAACTAGCAGAGATAGAGAAAAGCTACATCGTCCCATTGGACACTGTAACAGAGGGTATGCGACTTCGACATATCCGGAAGGACTTCCTGATGCAGCGGGTGGGGAAGACATGCGAGGTCTCTTACAGGCTGGAGAGGACTCCGAGTTGAAGACTGAAAGGTTCTCTGAAAAGACTCTCTGCGTTCCCACGAGGCAAATGGGGTATATCCCGCCAACAGGTCGAAGAGGATGTGCCGCTCGCCGTTGTGACACTCACCAAGTCACCCAAGGAGGTCTGCTACACTAGAAGGAGGGTTCTTACCCCTCCCGAGCATGGGAATATTGAAGAAAGTTTAGCAAAGAAGAATCTGCTTGTCTTGTTTGCACCGGCTATGATGTACACCGACCATTCGATCTGGGAACGGGCCACAATCACGAGGCTAAAGGCGATGCTTATAGAACAGGGCAGGAATTATCAAGAGGGATAAGAAGCTGCAAGCAATAGTGGCCCATATACAAACTTGGTTCTATATGCATACATGCCCTGGAGACGATGTTTCAGATCTCATGTTTTCAATGGTCATTTGGGAAGACCACCCACGAGAATTGGGCTGGAAGCTTCTCTATTTTGCCTGTCAAGTGATTTGAATTAGCTTATAATACCAGTATAGAAGAAGTTTTAGTTCTGCGTCCTTAGAATAATGCGTGGCTTAGTAGGACTGAGGAGCAAAAGCACTACTACTGTGTCTAGCTTAGTGTACGTAATATAGTGACAGACATTGGTTTCTAAGCCCTAGCAGACTGAGGAAGCTTTCTTTTGGAAACAATAATGAAATGATATGCTACGGCTGGATATTACCGGCATATTTGATTTATTATACATGCTTCCGTTGATTATTTGGAGATTTCCGATGGCTACTCGATGAATCGAGATTTGACATATAAAATAATACTTAGGCACAAACCAAAAATTGCAGTTTCTACCAAGTCACACTTCGCAGTAACGTTTCAGCCTTCCCTTTGTTATCGAGTGTATTCTCCTCGTATGAGCATCTGATACCTTACGAGTGGTATATACCGCGTAGGCCTTATATAGTATGTGACATGAAACGCCTCCATATCTATAAAGAATAGAAGCAGTGCTGCCTGCCTCTACTGAAGGGAAACTGACGTTCCTTGATATCCCCGGAATATCCCCAGAAAAACAACTGCAGAGATATAGTTGCGAAAATAGATATAAGGGACCAATGCAGTTCCATAATGTACTCCCACCAATCTGTCCAAGCTGCCTTATGCCCTCTCTATTCAACTACAACACTCACAATGTCCAGCGACCCCAGCCACACCATGAAGTGTGAAGAGCCAGATGAGTGCACCCAACCCACCGAACCCAACAAACCCATCGAGCTCAACAAAATCATCCAGTCCATCGAGCCCATCTGGCCAATCATACCCCTCAATCTCAAGCGATATTTCCCACGCAGCAAAAGCGAGAGCTACGGATTCGAACCCTTCGAAGCCAGCCCAAACCCCGAAAAAGAGAGCGACAGCTCTGACGAACAGCTCTTCCAAGCGCAGAAGCTCTACTTCCGGGACCACACCAACCGGAGAACGCGATACCTCTGTCTAATCATCATATACGGCCATTCTTCCCACGAGGAAGCATGCAAAGAGGCCTTACGAATATCCTGGCATCGCAATAGGAAGAAGATGTCCTCAAAGGTGATAATGGGACTTATCATCGATGAAGAGAAACAGGCGTGGTTCCGCGGGAGTCATACTGACGAGACGTATATCAAGAAGATGGGCAGAAATTGGGTTGCGAATAATGAGTGTATGCTGAGAAGGTACTTTCGTACTTTTCGGCGCGGGTTGAGGAGACATGCTCCTAGTCCGGGGTATGATCCTGGGTTTGAGTCTGGGTCTGAAAGTGAGTTAGATCTTGTTGAGCAGGATTTTTTTGCGGATGGAGATGTGGATGAGTCTGCTGTTTCGGATGCCGTCAGTTCTGATTGCGGTGGGGAGGGTGTGGATGTTCCTGATGGGGATGGTGCTGTTCGTCCGGGTTCTTCTGGGTCCGGTCATGATGATGAGTCTTGGGTCCCTCCTGAGAGTGATTCTAATGAGAGTTCGTCATCTTGACTGCTTAGTCTTGAGCCTGTTCCTCCTATTACTCTAGGGTTCATGAATCAGCCTCTCGCTCAGACTGACAGCGATGATGACAATGACTCAGATTAGCCTGATGTTGATCCCGGTTTGTTTGACAATAAGTGAAGTATTCTTGCTTTGGGTGTTTTATTGGATATCTGCTTGATTGTTGATTTATCGTGACGATTCTAACTGCTCGTGCAGGGGATCATACGGATACATCAGATACGAAAGAGCAGCTGAGCGATGTTTCATCGCTTATGCTTGCTTTTAGGTCACGTCGCGAGCCTGCTCAGCAAGAGAAGGAGAGTAGTATACTCGGTTCTAAGGGGCATTTGCATGATGGTACATCGCTTGTTCTTGCTCTGAGACAACGTCAGGATTCTGCTATATAATACTCAGATGCGTTTGCATTTTTGACTAATGATAATGCTATTTACTGGGGATATTCCATATATAACGTCTGTAACATACCACTATAGCTACTCTATTGGCATCTGAATACAAATCTAGAACTCTCATCTCTGTAGCTAATAAGATGGACATAGAAGCAACATCAAAAGACAATAATATCACGTGACACTATCCCAAATCAACCATAATCATCAAGACATCCACCAAAGAAACACGACAGTCTCAATACAAAACTATTAGAAGAAAAAGCCCATTCCAGTCCAAACCCAAACATCTCCATAACCACCGCAATCCTTTCCGCCAAGACATGGCATACCCATCATCACCATCAGGTGACACCCTACTATCCAACGAACTACTCAGCAGCCATCCAAGCCACCAAGCCACCACCACAGCAGCAGCAGCAGCAACAGCAGCCGGTTCGCTGCCCAGCTAGCTACTAACTAACTAACTAACTAGTAAGGAATCCAGAACGAACCTTCTTCCACCTTCCATAAGACAACAACATGACTGACCCCATGCAGAAAAGCAAAAACCGGGTGGATAAGTTAGCTAGCTATTATGGTACTTTTGGTTTCTATTTGAGATGGGTTGCTGCCCAAGTTACGGGGTGTTTTAATATAGAGGGATTATTGGTTCGGGGATGTGTGTGGATGTGTGGGTGGGTGTATATTAGGCACTCTTACTTTTTTGTGTTTTGTTGTGTTGCTTGCGGGAAGTTGTTTGAAGAGGGAAGAGAAGAGTGGAGTGGAGGGGAGGGGAGTGAGTCATACTGTGTGTATGTATTGATGTATGTGATGATATAGGTAAGTGAGTAAGTAGGTACATACGTAGAGAAGTAGGGATATGTGTATGTGTGCTTTTGTTCACTTGGTAGTAACAATTTGTAAAAGCAAGCCTAAGGAGTACCTAGATGTCTCTACTTTACATACATCACCTACCTACAAATCTACTGTAGTGCACTTCACATACTTACTTACTCATGTCTCACTAATCAATAACCAACTGCACAGTATGATCATCAGATCTTGGGACCATCAGTACCCAACCGCGCGACACATAATACTCCCATCCACCCACTGTACGTAGTAAGCAAGTAAGCAAGTCAGTAAGTAGTAAATAGTGGGTCAAAGACACATCTCCCATCCTCCCTCGGTCGGCCGACAGACAGACAGACCGACCGACCGGCCGACCGGCGCCTCCGATAAACGGATCAGATCACATACACCTCCTAGTCATTACTAGTAGTATTAGGTACCTACTACCTATAGTCAAGAAGAGAAAAAAAAGTCACATCAATCATTCTGAAAAAGGGGGAAACCGGGGGGATGCCCGTGGTAGCTGGAGAGAGCAAAACCAAGACGATTGCCAACTTCTGCACAATGATTGGCTGAAAGGCTGTGTGCTTGGCTGAATAAGTGTTCTTTAATGGGCGATGTTATTGGTTCATGCTTAGACGGTTTTTAAATTTTGTTCCCCGCAATTGTTGGGTCAGTTAGTACTTAGTGTTTTGCTTGGGTGGATTTGATCGGTGGATTGGGGATGGGATGGGCATGGGATGGGATGGGGCTGTGTATGGATGGATGGATGTTGTTTGTATTGTTGTTGTATGGGTGGGTGTGTGTGGGATGGGTGGGATGAAACATTAGAGTATTATTGAGGATATGGGTTGTTTTGGTTGTTTGGTTCTTTCTTCAGTTGTTTATTTCGTTGTTCTATTCAGGCTGATTTTATATTAAGATGGGGAGAGAAAGGGAATCACTTATCAATAGAAAGAACAGTACATTCTGGTTACTCTCTGATTATTGTGTATGTACTGTGTACAACAGAGCAGCGACAGAGAAATTACACTAACCAGAGTGGAGACATGGGGGATAAGGACTGTGCCCGCTTTATGCAGGCAATCGAGAAAACAAGCGGCTCGCTAGGTAACTAAGTGTTAGGTAGGTCACCAGAAGCAGTAAGTAACTAGGTAACTACCTGAATAGGTAATTGGATTGATGCGACAGAAAAAGTCGATCTACATGTACGAATCGGAGTTTCTGATGTATACATTTGTTCCCATCAGGGTCACTCTACATATCTACGTTCGTTGATATTGCAACCTATTCTGGGATACTATTTACAGTTTTCTGTCTTTATCCTCGCTTGACATATAGTGTGAAGTGATGGAAGTGGTTGTGTCGTGTGGTAGGTAGAAATGCCCTATAGGGTAAACAGTAGATAGCTTCCTCTCACTCCCTCACTCACCTAAAATACTGCCACACTGCATGCACATGCTACCTCAACATACTAGTTAGCACACACCATAAGGAGTATCTATCTGCGAAGCAAAGAGCATAGAACCCCACCGAACTTCCTGGAACCGGACTCAATTCTCATCATCTCATGCAAGCTACGAATGAGGGCCGTGCGTTAGTTATACCCAGGGCCTGAGTGGTCAGTCAACACCTGTGTCAGTCCATTCATCCCACCACTTTAGACTAAGGTTAGTGTGTTGGGATGTGCCTTGCCTGCCCCTTTAGCAGGTTAATCACAATAAACCTGTTACTACTACAAGCATCAACATCATCGCTCTCAACCGACGCACAAAGTTAAAGTTGGAACAGCGCTTACTAGAGTAGGTACTGTAGCTGCCTATCCGCAGCAGGGGCTCGGCTGACTTGCCCGTTCTAATGCAGAGAATGGTCAGGTGGTATACGGTTATTCTGGTTCGTGTTTCGTAGACAATGCCAATATACACTACTTACGCAACGGGTATTGTGTCCGTCTGTTGAGTGTTCATAGCTTTTTTATGGAAACGGGATTGTGGGTGCCGGGTGGCGGGAACGGAGCTTTGATACGGTCAGATGTATACCGGATGCTCTTATGGATGGATGTAGGTGCTTGTTAGTCCTTAATTGTCGAGTTTATAGTGATAATGTGATGAAGTGGTGGGTGAATAGGCATCACCATAACGTAGTCTGTATGGCGTGCCTATAGATTCGACCGTATTGACAAGCTAAGACCAAGCACATCCAGGTCTCCGTATCAACTCCGCATTTACGCAAGGAGTGATGAGGAGAAGACGATCGCAACGGATGAAAAGCGAAAAAGCTGCGAGTCAAGAGATCTGCTCAGTAAGTACAATACTCGGTACGAGACTCCGCAAGGACAAGAATTGGCGGGGTAGGTAGGTGGTAGGCGTCTACGTGGACAGGCAGGCATAAGGCAAGGAAATTCAATCGTACACCCATTTGTGAGCAGATGCAGGCCTTGTTGATCTGAAGCAAAAAGATGAGGATGAAGAATTTAGGTGACCAGAACCGGCGGTTCACTCCCTGTCTCTCTCCACTGGAATACGGCGGGAACACCCTTCCGTGGATCCACTTGTCCCGTTCCACTGACTCTCCTGGTTGAGATGGCGCTGTTAACCTTCTCTCATGCAGTGGTTGGGCTCATGCCCGCCCGCTTGTTGTGCTTGCTTTCTAATGGGAAATTGGCGCAAAGGCAATGGCTCTCTCGCTATGTACGTATACCCGATGAGGTAGAGTAGTATGGAGTGCAGGAGGGGTCTTGTCACGGCCATTCCGTTGGTGAGTGGGGCGTGTTTCAACCCAGGCATCGTCGCTCCATCATGAATGCTTAATATTCCCAAGCTGGCTAACTCGAATTCCCTGTTGTAGCAAATTGATCGTGAGGAGTGCACTTGCAGCGTCAGCACCTGCTGGGGCTTTCCGGTGACCGGGCACGAGTGTTGGTTAGCCATCGTGACTAACAGAAGCTAGGCGACCTAGTGTCTTGTACCTGCCTGACCCCAAGACCGGCTTGACTCGTAGAAAAAATGGAGGACTCGTGGGCTGGGAGAGCATAGCGTAAACTCTCCAGCTTCAATAGCAGCACCCAAACAGGTGCTGGGTACATACAAGGTACTGTAATCTTCGTTACGGATTTCCCCATTGGGCGATCCGCCGTCTCCCACGACGCTTTCTCTTGTGCTCTCTCTCGGGCGAGTGCCAGAGGGAGAGGGAGAAAGAATCCACTCATGACCTTGGCTCTTACACAAAAAAAGCCATCGTCATGACCATCTGACCATCCAAGATCATCAAGCTTAATCGCTAGAGCGAACCGGACGAGTGCTAGAGTGAAACCGGCGACACGCGGATAAATCAACGGAAAAGGGGAAGAAGCGAGGCACGGTCGGACCCAGCTAGTCCACTTTGTAAGTAGTGGGAAAAAGAATACGGCGCCAGAGCCTCTCAAGCTCCGAGCTCGAGCTCCAGCCAGCCTAAGCTCTAGCTCCACTTCCGAATTCGTCGTCTGGCAGATGGCGCGGACTACTACTCTTCGCCAGCCGTTTCGAATCACCGTCAGCCGTGAGGTCCAAGCCCTCGGAAACATACTCCTCCAATAAAATTCCACTCTCTCCTCATGTCAGGGAAGGCAGAACATCTGATGAGAGGGGAAAGACAGCGTGGGAGGGCAAGGTCGAGTGAGGAGACCACCTGCGATGGAGGAGGACAGACCGTTGACCAGGACCCCCAACACGGCGATCCGTCGGTCGCGAGGAAATTCACGTACTGCCTGGATATATTTAGGTGTGATTATTAGGAGTAGCAGTATTAGTAGTATGACTATGAGCGTTTACAGAACAGCTAGTTGTAGTACCTAGTCCTACTACAGGATCATTTGCAGGCGGCCTCTGCCTATTTTGCACGGAGCCTTCCCGGGGTGCCGTGCGCATAAACAGGGAACCAGTCGCCCATGACAAGATCACAGACCTGCCAGATTGGATTTGTCTCTGGTCACGGGAAGAGATGTAATACATCCAGTACCTACAGGAGTCACTTCCAAGCCATCCGTGCCTGCTTTGGTGGACAGATGGGTTGGCCGTCCTGGATGGAAGATTCATCTGCAGTGCCTTGAATGTCCGTGCTGGGGGCGCACAGGAGAGGAGATCTGGCCCACTTTTCCCCAGATTGTCAGGGTGAGGGCTTTTCTGGCCTTCCATTCCTGTCACCGTCTGTAACACGACCAAGGCATGCTCGGAGGGGTATGTCAATCCTCGCTAATTACCGTCCGATCTGCTCTCACGAATAGCTTTCGCAGTATCTCTCAGCAGTCTGGGGAAGAGATCGGACGACTCGAAAGGGGGGCGTCAGACTGGTCAGACGGATCACAATGCAGGGAGGACAAGAGCTCCAAGACTAGTACCTCAAGGGAAATTGGCCTGTGGTGTCACTGCCCGAGCATCTGGCCATCTCCGCACTTGTCCAACACCGGCTGATGAGACCCAAGAAAATGAGAGAGACAGAGAGACAGAGAGAGAGAGCGCAGTATCCAAGGTCGTCGTAGCGTGGGGTGTGGCGTCCAGCTGAGCCCGAGCCGTGTCATCCCGGCATGCAAGTCATACATAAGACCGACTAGAACGCTACGCCCCGTCATCACCACCGTCATCGGCGTCGCTCTTCCACTGCAGCAGGGCTGTCCGCGAACACATGGTGCATTCAATGCTTCAACGTGTCCCGTCTGAAAGAGATGAAAGAAGGTCCTGGTTTTTCGCCTCTCCCCTTTCAATATGCTAGAGATAGATCGAAATGCGTAGTTGCTTTTTTTGGTAGACTGATCGTCTGGTGTGGTCTTTTGGGGGCCCCGAAGATTTACACTTGGAGAAGACAATCCTCCCGTTCTTGTTCCACCAAACCATTAGGGGGCCGGGGGAAAGTTAACTGACTATACGAGAACGAGATTCCCATGATCACGGTCAGTCGGTTGCTGGTTCCCACAGCAATACAAGCACCACCATCGACTCCACCTCCACCACTGCCACCACCTGCACATACCGGTGCGAGGCTGCTCCATAATCTGGACCTGCTTCCCGCTGGCATTGTGTCATCAGGACGGATTCGGGGGTTTCCAGCTGCAGTTCGCAATCACGGTGACGAACTCTCTCATAGCGACGCGGCCCTGTACCACTGGGGAAGGTTGCCAGTCAATCTGGTTGTATGGAGACGGCAATAGCCTCACCGGATGGGGCAGATCCTCCACGCAAGCCAGTCGATAGTTGCTTCGGCCATCACTAATTTTTTTTTCACTCTAGTCTTACAGGCTGTCAAGCCCCTGGGAGAAGCAGAGGGGAGGGGGGAGGGGAGGACCATCCATTGCATTCTGGACGGGTCTGGGGAATCACCCACACCGGCCGGTCGCCAACCGAAAGGTGTGCCCAGCAGGATCTAGTGGTGAGCGACGAGGATCATCCGTCCGGCGACCTTTCCCAGGGTGCACCATCTATGCGTAGGACTAGGGAAGGTTTATTTTCTGGAGGGGGACCCTCCCAGCTGGGGCTGTTCTACTGGGTGTAAAAACAAATTTCTCATTCGAGCAGCATCATTTGCTTTTGCGTATCCACCGTGCTGGAGCAGGAGTCAGTGGAAGCTGTAGGAACTGGAACTAGGCACTCGGCACTAAGGAAGGACGACGAAAATCAGGTCGGCGAAGAGAATCGCAGGTTAACCTAGTGAAGTTTAGCATCGCTTTGGCTCGCTTCTTTGGCGTTTTTCTCCGTCTGGTGATGGACCAATCAGAATGCAAATGTGCACTGTCTTGGCGTTCCTCGACCCCCCCGCATCCATGTTAGAGTTTAAAAAAAGCGCAGCCCGGGACGGGGTGGATGGATGCCCTACTGACCCTGTCTTTTTTTTTTCTCCCTCCCTCTTATTTTATTTCTCCTGGTTTTTGTATTTATTTAGTTATATTGTTTGATTTTCTTGATCATCATCATTCCCAGATCCTTTGACCCGCTATGTTAAAGAAATCAATAGAAACAAAACGCCTTAGATTACTCAAAGTATGTAATAGTCGAACTGCCGGTATAGTTGGCTTGTCTGGCACGCTGCGGAATCTCCGAAAAGTGGGCTTGGCTCTGGCGCGCATTGTTGTCATTGTCACGGTTAATTATTGCGATTCTCCCCAGACAGGAGGCATTGATCACAAAGTTTGCCTAGTTTGGATGCCCTCTTGATGGGGTCCACTTCCATGCCTCCAATCACTCCCCGACCGATGAGGAGAAGAGAATGAACCAGAGATGAGCAGGAGGATACTAATGATAATCCTAATGTTGGGAAAGTCCCCATCAGCATACATCACGAGAATGTTCCTTTTAAAGGAATTGTTTCTCGGATTTTTCAGGAAATTATAATAGATTATTTTTTACTTTTTTGTGCCTTCATTATTGTTGTTGCGCACGGTAGCCACTGTACTTATGTCGGTATTAGTAGTGGTAATAGAAGTAGTAGTAGTCTGACGGGCTCCAGAGGCGTCAGTCAGTCAGTCCATAGCTCAACCATCAGAACTATAGTACTAAGAAACCAGTTGGTAGCAAGTAAAATCGTGAGTTAACCACAAAAAGACGAATAATTATAATTATAATTATAATTCTCATAATACTCCGGTGCAGCCCAGAAGTACTACTAAAAATTCTACTAACTTTCTCCTCCTACTATTATTACTGTTACTACCCTCTCTCGACTTGCCCACTTGGGTTGGTTACCTTTCCGTCTTGCCATCCATCCCCCTCCAAACCATCCATTCACAGAGAATTACTGTTAATACCTTGCCCCATCCCCATCCCCATCGCCATACCCGTCCATACAATACGGGTTGTCAGGAACATTATTCATTCCTATGACTACCGTTCGGAATCCTATTGAATAATAAGAAAGACAAAAAAAAACCCAAATTCATTTCTTTGGTTCTACTTCTTCTTGCCAGTAAAAATACCATACTATTCCTTATATTAACTCGCTTCCCCATCCTTTCCTTCTCCCGGATCTTCGAATTCAGCCTCGTTTCAAGAGGAAAGATTTCTGCCTCTAGTGCACTCCCACTCTTCAATCACTGCCCACGGACGATCCACTACTACTCCTACCACTTCTTACTACCACTACTATTACAACTATTCTTACACTAACAGCTAACTGATTGACTGATTGAAACCTGCCTATTCCCCATCCACTCACACCACGAAATCCTCCTGCTTAACTACCGACTAATCTCCCTCGGGTCCAATCCGTGCTTCCACTAAATCGCAGCCAAGTCTTGAACTGCTCCCCACTCCAATCATAATTACTCTATAGGGAGATTCTATTATCCTCAACTCACTTCTTCACCTTCCCCTCCTTAAACAAGACCTCCCCCAGCAACCTCCTTCTTAAACCACCTTCTTCCCTCCCCCAATATTGCCGAAGCATTGTCGCCCGTCTACCCCTCTTCCTCGCGCTGGTCCAAACTCCCCCAACCTACCAACCAACCAACTCATTTCGCTTCCCGTTCGCTCACCTTCCTTTCCACCTCATCCTCCCACCCCCTCTTTATCGCCCTCCTCTGTCTACCTCGCAATCATAGCTCACCTCAACTTGAGGTGTGTATGGGCCAATGTTGTCCATGCAGAAATCTCACTCCTATGTGCTCCCTCCATCCGCTACCTACAATAATGTCACCGGTCTCCCTCATGCCATGCCATCGGCCAACCCGGCAGCTGAGCGTCGCGACTCCACCCGCTCGGTCATGTTGACGGACGTCCCCGCCCTCGGCGACTGTCCATTAGTAGACGACTCGTCACTCTCGCACCGAAACAGCATCAGCACCACCGACGGCATATCTAACGATTCGCCCGCCTCGTGGGATGGCGACGCCCCTTCCGATAATTCTCCCTCTGCCGAGGTCGACGTCAAAATTCAAGACGGCTTACACCATCCATTTCCGACGACCGCAGACACCTCGCCGAAAACCTTCCGATTCAACGTGATCGCATCCCACGGCATGGAGGCGTCCATGGACGAGGTCACGCCCAAGATCGAGGAGATAGATGATGTGGACGAGTTGCAAAGCATAAAACCGGTGGGAGTGGAGACATCGATGGCCCATGCGAGTTCTACCCATCCGGATTCCACGGCTGCTCCCGTCAACGTCCCACGGAAACGTGGACGACCGCGCAAACATCCGCTGCCAGCGCCCGGGAATCAGATCAAAATCACCAAGGGTCGATCCAAGACGGGTTGTATTACCTGTCGTCGGCGGAAGAAGAAATGCGACGAAACCAAGCCAGCGTAAAGCTCCCGTCCTCCTTTGACTGGTCCATCCTGTGTCGCAACGGTCGCAGTGGTTAACTTTCTTTCCCTTCCTGCAGGTGTCTCAACTGTCAAAAGAATGCCGTAGTATGCGAGGGCTACCCGCCAAAAGAAATATGGAAGAGTGGTAAGCAGAAGCTTGAGGATGGTAAGTGCACCTTGGACCGTAGCATGCTCGAGCTGCTTTGCTGTGCGTATTTACTACTCCTGGTTGCTTATCCGGCACCTTTGATCCAATCACCTTGACACTTGTGTGAACGTTCTGACTCCTTGGTTCCACAGCAGTTCGCACCCAGAACATGGTTGCCCGCTCTCTACCGCTGCTTATCGACGGCATCGAAACCGAGATTGACCGACGCTTCCTCGATCATTTCGTCTATGGCTTTAGTCGCGTCTTGACCCTGATCAACGATGACTCCAACCCGTTCAAGGAGATCTTGCTCCCGATGGCCACTCAGCACCGAGGTTTAATGCACTCGCTCATGTGCCTCTCGGGATCGCACCTATCAGGTCTCCATCATGATCCGATGTTGGAGGAGCGAAAGTTCTATCACTACCACCGTGCTATCAGGGATCTCAAGGATAATATCACAGCGTCTTCGGGTACTGCTGAGCAAGACCCTGAGCTTCTTATCGAAGATCCCATAATCGCATCCACGATAGCTCTCAGCTTGAACACCATCTGTGAAGGAGAGACCAAAGGAGAATACCGACCCCACATGGATGCGGCCCGGTACTTGCTGTCGACGCAGCAGCCGAGGAATGAGAAGTTCCGGCAGTTTATTGTCGAGTTCTTCCAGTACCATGATGTCTCCAACTCTATCACTTCTCTGGATCGCCGCCCCGCCCATCTGCAGGGCGGCTTACGGCTGCCTGACTTTGTGCCACACGCGCAGGCAGGGATGTTCCTTGGAGTGTTTGATGGTCTGTTCAATTATATCTCCGAGGTAACTCGGATTCGAGACCGGATTCGACAGCGGTCCAATGAAGGCTACGAGCCTGCGGTTGACTACCAGATTCTTGGCGACGCCGTCTCCATCGACTCCGCCATCCGGGCTTGGGAGACCTCGTATACGCCCAACACGCCGAATTACTACCTGGCGCAACTATATCGCCAGTCCACCTGGGTCTACCTGTACCGCACCATCCGCCCGTCCCGACCAAGTGAGAAAATTGCGCAGGTTGTGGACGACGGACTTTCTTTTCTGGACCAGCTACCTCAGGATGCAGGTGCCTACAGTATTGTGCTGATGCCACTGTTCCTCCTGGGCTGTTCTGCCTTCGTGCCCCGCCAGCGGGAGAGGATCAAGAAGGGTTTTGAGACCCTCAAGGGCTACTCCAATCTCCGCAACATCGAGCCCGCCTTCAAGGTGGTGGAGCGAGTGTGGGAAGTAATGGACACGAAAATGGAAGAAAGTTGGGACTGGGAGAAGATCATCAGCGACATGAATATGGATTTCTTGATTACCTAGGCTATTGGCCGCTTCGATTTGCAGCTTGCATATTTTCTTCTTTTCGGTTCGGTCCGGTTGCATGGTCCGTCATTCTTACTGGTGACGATCTTTTCGTTGTTCGATGTATGTATTTCTTTCTTCTTTTTCTTTTTTCTTCCTTTTGTCTTCTTTCTTCTTTACCATTCTTTTCTTTTTCTGGTCTACCGAATGGCGAATGGGCAACAGGACCCAAGGGGATCAGCCCCAAAGCGAGACGGACGGACATGGCGTCAGCGGGCATGGATAGGGGCACAGTTCCGTATACCAACATACCAAAAGGGACACTGGCCGGTGGGAATGGTTTTGAGATGTATTTATATATATATGACGGAGTATGCGTCTGATGAGTCGTGATGATATTTCTTCTTTTTCATTCTTGTGATACATGTATAAGATTACTGCATTGTATATACAGATAGTTAAGATTATTATCTTTATCAATCCTTATACCAGATTCCACATTACTTTTCATCAACATAGCAATAGCTACAGCAAAATATCCACTAGTCAACCACCAACCTCCCAATGCACCCAACTGGATACTAGCTACCCAAGGCAACCATACAGCAGTAGGTCCAAATTAACTTCCACTGACACATACCTGTTCCTGAATATGCTTGCTTTTATTTTAGTTCCTATTTTTTTTTTTTCTTCTCCTTATCATCATTCGTCTTATTTTCTTTTCTTTTTCCCTTTCCCCTGCATTCTGCAGTCCATATGTGTATGGTTGTAGATAAGCTCCCGCTAATCTCTTTCCCCTCTTGGGATTTGGCGTACTGGTACTAATTAGTAAAGTCGGGTTGGAATTGGTTGGGCATGAATCGTTGCTACTAGTACTACTGCGTATTTCCAGTTTAGAAGTTGATACTAGATGGATGGATGGGTGGATAAATGGGTTTGGCATGTAGATCGGATGTCTTGGCTTGGTTATTGTAAGTGCTGATTTACTTATCAGTAACTAGAAGTAGATTTGTTTTTGGGATGATATTTAGTAAGGAGCGGAGCTGAAATCCGAGAGGGATAGAGAGGGGGTGTGTGGTATGAATGATGATCGTGATCGTGATCGTCGATGATTTTATGATGTGTGTAGAGAGAGAATATAGAGGTGGAGGTGGGTTTGGTTACTGGAAGTATAATTACCCGATTTTCGAAGGTAGGTAGTAACCACGGACTAATCCATATTAATGCGTATATCAAATCCAAGAAGATAAGTCTATTCTACTCGATCTCTATCTGTTCTCAGGGGGTAAGGTACCTTCCAGCTGCTGGAGTTTGATCCGAAATGGATAGTTACGTCGGAAAGATTGATGTATGCAACGGGAGAGATGGTGTCCTTCATTACTGCATAGTCCCATAGTCAAGACCCGGTTCCTCAGTCGGAATAGGTTGCATATGTTCCGTTGTTCGAGGGCCAGTGTATCTCCTGTTCATCTAGTCAGTAACCACTCTCTTCTTTATAACTCGTGAAGAAATAGAAAGATAACTCACCCCCTCGCAGCAACCCACCACCAAACCAGCGCAAACGCAGCGATGAAAATACCGACGCAGATACCGTAGTTCCTTATCACTAATCAGCCTCGTCTGGATACTCAATTAAGGGATATGAACGTACATATTCGACACCGTCACCGGCACCGTCGGCGGAAAGAACAGCACCGAGCTGATAAACATAACCCAGATTACCGATACCCAGTTGATGTACGGTCCCCATCTTCCCAACGTAAACGGCCCCTCGATGAACTTGACCTGCTTTCGGTATATCTGATGCGCTAGAATCACAGACACGTAGGAGAGGTCTAATGCCGGCGCGGTGATGCTGAAGATGGCGGTGGCGGTGTGAGTCGAGCCGATGGCAATGCAGTTTAGGCAGATGCTGAAGAAGACGACGAACCAAACGGCGTTGACGGGGGTTTGGGTGTAGGGGTTTATTTGGGAGAGGAAGCTAAGTGGTTCGTGCTGTTAGTTGGGGTTGCTTGTTTGGATAAGAGGTGGAGTAGGGAACGTACGAAGAAAAGGGTAGGGCTTCGTCACGAGCAAATGCGTAGGCCATTCGGGTGTCTGCTAGCATAGCGGAACAGCCTGTGAAGAACTGTACGAGGATTGCTAGTCCCCACATCGCTGAACCACCTAGTTTTCCTCCGGCGTTGAGGAAGATCTGGGCTGCTGGGAGGCCGGTGGGGGTGTTGAGGATGCCTTCGTAGTCGGTGAGACAGAAGCACATTGATATAGTCAGGATCCAGCCGAGTATGCCGGATACTATCACGGCCCATTGAATAGCTAGGGGGCCTAGGGCTGCTGCGTTGTGCGTTTCCTCGGACATGCTGGGGCTATGTGTGAGCAGGTCTGGGTATTGGCATAGATGTAAGGTAGACGTACTGTGTGGTTCCATCGTAGTCGGTCATTGTCCATGCAACTGAGATGAAGCCTAGTAGGAATGAGAATACTTTCGATCCCCATCCGGATCCATCTGTGAAGCGGGTGAACACCCAGGTAGCTGGTTGCTTCTCCGGGGTGAACCATAACAGGGAGAAGCAGATACAGAATGTCGCGGCAACTGGTTGGTCAGCTGTGTTCTAATTACTCGAGAAAATGACATACTATTTATTGGGGCAAACCAAAGGAAGATCTGGTGCAGAGACTTGGTAGTCATCGAGCAGATCACACCCAGTAGGCAGAGCAATATCACAGATAAGAGCACCGTATCCAATGCAGAACTATCCCGTTAGCTAAGATAGTTGACAGACTACAGCCGATGACCTACGGTGAGTATGAATACTGCCCATCCACAAGCTCCGAATTCATACTCGCGCAAGCAAGTAACATCTGGCTGACAGTATAGGCGACACTGGACACTCCCGCCGTCTGTCCGAGGAGGTTACACCACCCCTGTACCCAGGAGAAGATGGGCACATGTTCATCTGGAACTACATGCTTTGTAACAAAGTACATGCCCCCGGCAGTAGGGTAAGCAGAGACCAGCTCTGCCACCGAGCTGCCGATACACAAGGCCATGCAGGAGCCCACGAACCAACACCATACTGCGGTTGCTGGGCCTCCTGCAGCCAGGGGAGCGCCGAAAGTGGCAGGCACTGAGCCTAGTATGCCTAGGATGGAGATGGCATAAGAGACAGTGGACCATTTTGAGAATTCGCGTTTCAATTCCTGGAACTGTCAGGCACCAGATGGGGGGATACAGGCGCTTAGGCCATACCTGTTTGTAGCCAATGCGGGCTAAGAGAAGCTCGTCATTGTCGTGGATGGAGGCCATCGCACTAAGTGCGTGAATATAATTTATCCCTAGAAATGAATGAAGCAACGAGAGCGTGTGGTGTGTCGGAAGCGATATTCCAGTTAGCTCTGTAGTTTCCGACCAGTGATCGTCGGGATCAGTCGATGCGGAACTTCACCCGCTCAGTTGCCGATCAAGGGTCGGTGAGAACCCCGCGAGGATCACTGCGAGCACCGGCGACGAATTTGAAGGATTACTAATGATAGATAACAGATTGAGAAAGCCGGTAGGTTTTCAACATTTGGAAAGGTCAGAAAATCGGATAGAATCCCATCGTGGGAAGAAGGAATTCGAATTTCGACAGAAGTGGCTGGGGGAAGGGTAGATGCATGAGATGCATTCTTATCAGGGCCGAACTGATAAATCCCAGCAAGGGCATCCCTACACCTCCTACGCTTATACTCCGAGGACATCCTCGCATAATTCTCGAATCATTCTGATTCATGGCGTCTGGTTTCAGATAGCTTCTTACGTTCTCAGGTAACGGACTGCGCACGGGTTTGCTCCGCGCAGTCCACCCCTAAGTTCACGTCAACTGTACTAGATAGATGTTAGAAAACCAGTGCGCCATTGAAGCACAACAGTCTTGGTAAGCATGATATGAGAAACAACGATGAGCTTTTTATATACCAGTACTGAATTAGTGGAACCACTGGCTTTAGCGATATGAGCGAAGTCGCAGAGTATGCTCTAAGCTGCGCATGCAAGGTAGGATCTGTTAGCCCTCGTAAAAGTGACAGTGGTGAAGAGTGATCATAATAACACTTGAAGGCAACTTGTATAATCATAGCATGCACTTATTTACTGCACGATTCAAATATTTCCTAATGCCCTCCATTCAAAAAGAGTAGCCAAAGGGCAGTCCGGTCAAAGCCAAAGATGAATGCTTGCTCATAAGACGTCGGGTTCCGATATATTCCACCTCCTATACTACTAGTCAATCACAAAGCTTCCGATTGGCCATTTCTCTGAGGTAACTTCATCATAGGCCTCACGCTCCAGACATGCTGTCACAGCCTCCCTGATGCTGTGCCTGGGGTGGCCTTGATAAGGCCTGAGCCGCAGCAACCCAACTCTACGATAACGATGCGTTCCACTGCTGCTGGCTGCACTTCTCGTCTGTGGCTGTAGAATGAGGAGATAGAGCACTGGTGGATCAAAATTGGTCACTTCTGCAACTTGGATTAAAGTGAAGTCCGTGCTGCTGCTCGGAACGATAACAGAGCCGCTCGTTTCCGTTTCTGCGAGGTAGCCAGGTCTCGCAAGAGCGACCTGCGCCAGCTCCCTCATGCTTTCCAACGGACCAGGTCGTATAAGGGCCCTTTGTACAACCCGCGTGAGGTTCCATCGGGACTTGGAATAGCTATCGAGTCTCAAGTGGAGGTGCCGATACGGCGCTTCCAGGGTTAGTTCCGCGCCCTTTATATGGCCGAAGACGCCATGAAGCTGGCCGTGGGCCTTGTAATCGACAATCTTTGCTAGATATTTGTATTTGCGCAACCATCTCAACCGGGGCCACTTCAAACCGACATAAGTGTCTGTCCCAATCCAGCTCCAGGACGGCTTGCGTTGCTTTGAATAGACACCCACCGGAGCATATATTTTTCTATTATGTTCGTATTCATAACTGAGATTCCGAACCTCAGAGCATTTAGCGGTGCTAGCAAGCGGCCCTGGGTAGTGCCCATTACGGTGTGTGCTCCATAATAACCCAAACAAGAGGTCCCCCCTCCATAATCCCGCGCAGTACTGTTCTCCTAGCGGTGCATAGAAGAACTCGGCCAATGCTTCGATCGCCGGCAAGCGATCTCTTTCGAATTTGAGATCCCGTGATACATAGTTTTCCAGCAGCAGGTACCAATTCAGATAGGGATCTGGCATGAAATATGCGTTGCATACTTTATCTGGCTTAGGCAGAGGAACCGGTAGTGGCCCTGGAGCCTCTATGATAGAGGCAGTAGTGGGTTTCTTTTCTGGCTCCCTAACCGTCCCAGTGCGGCATTTCCAAATCATCTCTTCTTTAGTGTAATACAATAGTCTTTTCGACAGTAATTCCTCTTGGAATGTCCAGCCTCTGGTGGCCCAGCGCGAATGCCGTGCCGGCTCCTTGTCAACCATATCCGTGTAACCCCGAAGGACAACAGGATACGCGCGCGAA